TTTTTAACTGTTAAATTTATTTTAAAAATTATCTATTATATATATATTTTTAATTAAAAATCTAACAGTGAGAAATTGGCACTATTAGATTTACCGGATAAAGTCATGGAAGAAATAAAAGATGTTATGAGTCTGTTTAGTTCGTTAATACGAGTTGAGATGTAATTTTATGTGAGAACTTTTTACTGTAATAAAAAAGTTAAATATGACTGTTTTTAAAAAATTTTTATTGTAATAAAACTCAAATTATTAAAATGAACGGATCTAATTGTCAAATTTATCAATCACGGAAGACTTTGTCACAGCAACTCAATAGCCGCCTAGCTAATGTAAGAACAAACAATTTAAATATAAAAAAATAAATTACCGGATTCTTTATTTTTAATTATTAAATTTATATTAAAAATAATAGTATATTTTTATTCAGAGATGTACCAATAAAAACTCATACTATTAATAAGTTGACTAATCAGTGAAAGTCATGGAAGAAATAAAAGATGTCATCCATATAGATAAGATTTCTGGTAAGACACTCAGAAAGTGTTTCAGTTAGACACTTGTATAATTATATATGAATTGTATATATTTATAAGTAAATTGTGTATATTTATATAACATTTGTATAATTATGTAATCGTGTATATTTACATGTAAATTGTGTATATTTACATATAAATTATGTATGTTAAGTTATAAGAAACGATAATATATATTAATCATCAAAATATGTATTTTTTATAGCAATTAATGAACACATAGTATGAAAATATGTATATTAATTAATTTATTATATTTCATGTTAAATATACAAAATTTTACATGTAAATATAAATAATTTACGTATAAATATACATAATTTATATATAATTATACAAATACTTAACTAATCAGACATTTTTAAGCGTCGGAGACAATTTATATATATATATATATTTATATATCAGAGGACGCAATAGATATCTTTCGAAATCCGGGAGGATATTGTCAAATTTATCTTTCATGGAAGACTTTGTCACAGCAACTCAATAGCCGCCCTGGCCCACTAGCTAATATAAGAACAAACATTGATTATACACAAGTGGCCAAAAGCCGGTGTGGCGCGCCAATTCTTTAAACACAACTGGCCTACTTGTATTGCTCTATAATCATGAATAAATACAATAATGGTTCATTATTATTTTTGATAGAAAGTCCTGACCAACTAGTAATTAAGGTCTCGTTTATTTTATCAATTTGAGTTTTTAATTTTAAGTTTTTACAATAAAAATTTTTTAGAAAATATCACATTTAATTTTTTTTACTACAGTAAAAAATTCTCTGAACTCAAATCTACAAAGTGAAAGAGGCCTAAAAATATTAAACAGTCATCAACAATCGTTTTGACAAAAAGAATATATAATGAAGACAAATGGCATGTCAAAAAGAGAAGGGAAGAAAAAGCATTGTTATTTTGGACTCTTTAGTAGACTTCTCTTTTTACTATTATTCTCGTGATGAGTGATTACAATAAATTTTATCTACTCTATAATTGAATAAATTTTCTTATATTAGACTATCGTTTTTTTTTTTTTTCGCGTCGCTATAATTAGTTAGGTTAGATTAGTTATCTTTTATAATTGTTAACATCATGTCCCATATAAATATTAATGTTAATTTTATATTTAGTATTAAAAAAATATAATAATAGTATATTGGATATGTTATTTTTATTGTACTCTAATGTATAATGTTAATTCAAATGCTAAATTTAATTTTTACTATAATCATTAAATTTTAAAAGTTACAAAAATAAACTTTTAATTTTAAAATAATTTAAAAATATAAATGTTACAATGATTAAATAAAAAAAATACAATTTTTAACTAATAACAATCTAATGATAAATTTATCGTATACTATATTTAGTGGCAAAACACTACATTACAGAGTGTTTTTACACTCAATAAATATTAAATTTATTATTAACACATTAATTATAAGAATGAGAGGAGAAAAAAAAAAAAAGAAGAATGGCGGCCATATATATTGTTGGCGACCAGTGCTTGGTTGGTTAACGAATGAATCCTGTTAAAGTTGAACAAAAACAAGAAAGGAGGCTGTATTATCCATCAATGAGAGGTGGAGTCTGAGTCAGCTGAAAAGCAAGTGTATAATTTAATTAAAAGATATATTAATCATGAGAGGAAATAATTAAGGTCCCTTCATTTTATCGATTCGAGTTTAAAATTTGAGTTTTGTTATAATAAAAAGTTTTTAAAAACAGTCACATCTAATTTTTTGCTACAGTAAAAAGTTTTCACATAAAGTCACATATAAACTCGAATTAAAAATTAAAATCAGCGAATTAAACGGACCCTAAAGTATCTTTAACTCGCTGCTCAATTATTGTGTCAATGATAAATTTTAATATTTGAGTTAAAAAATCACCACACTTGATGGCATTTTTTGTTCTAAATTTAATACATACTTTATAGTTGATGTAAAATATAACACTAAGTATAACATAAAATAAGTTTTGATATTTAATTGTTATTAGTTGATGTACATTGTATCATTGTAAAATATATTATAATAAGTTTTACAAATTTTAAAGTTTAATAATCAATTTTTTGATGTAAAAAGGTTATTAATTAATAATGACAAATAAATAAATATAGCATTTGGAATAGTATTCAGGATTAGAGTACAAAATAAAAAAAAATATCGAATATCTTACTTTCATACCTTTTAATGTCAATTATAACAAAATCATTATCATTGTATTGGAGCACATAATTTTTTTAGAGCATTCTGAATAAGTTGAAACCTTTCAAAAATCTATCCAGCACGAACTTTTTCACCCAACTTCAATAAAAAAGAAAAATACAAGTTTTAAAGAAAAAGAAGCTAATGCTGAAGCTCAACTCAAAATAAAAATATAACTTTTTAAAAGAATAGCAGACCAAAAATACCTAAAAATTAAGAAAAAGTGAAAAGAAAATAATAACTAATGGATGGGGAGAACCTTTCCATACTGCGGCCAAGTGAGGACAACAATATTGAATTTTAAACACATTAGTCATCCGAGATTAAGGGGACGTTTGTTTCTTATATTCATCTCTAATTCTAAATCGTGATTCATGATTCTTTATAATGTTTTCTCTCATAAAAAATACACATAAAATGAGAATAATTCTGAATCATTATCTTGAAAGAATACATAAACCAAACGTTCTCTAAAAAACCGAAACCTTAATAATTAACACGGTCTGGGACAAGGAAGAGTGCTGGGAATGATGTCTGCATTATCTATATATATATATATATATATATTTCGCCTCTGATAATAATGATGTCTGCAGCTAGATATTTTTGGCTACTGAAGATAAATATGTCTTAATTAGTATGTATGTGTGCGTATATATGGTTTGTCTATGTCGCACTGGTGATGAGATGGTCCCTTCAATGTAACAAGTAGAAAAACGTAAATTACAGTTAAAATGACGTAACATTAATATTAGTGATATATCTATTTAAAGTTACTGTTACATTTCAGGTCTTACATTTTCCTTTTATTTTATGTTAGGGAAACCGTTCTATCAGAGGAATAACCATATATAAATTTCGGTCAGAACATCGATGCCTTTTGTTGTTGTTAAAGGATTCTATGAAAATGGAGCAAAAATTAAGTGAGCAATTACCACCAAAAAATTCGCGTTCCTTAACATACGATAGCTTTGTTGCTTCGCTGTTTCCCGGTTGGGAAGCAATTCTAGCAAAATTATCTAATGTTATTAGCTTTGTTGCTAATTTCCTTAGCATTAATACTCAGATAATTTAGCACTTTCAGTAAAAAATGCACAGTGCCCCTAATGTAAAAGGACCCCATAAATATAAAAGAAAATAGGTCCATAAATAAAAAAGAAAATAGGTCGACAAAACTAACTATTGTGTCTTTTTTCATGTCATTTTAATTATATTGTGATACGTCAATTAAAATAACACGTTAATTAAAGATATTTATTATGTTAATTAAAATATCATGACGTGACATGTTATTATTAGAGAGACACAAAAATAGATAAGAAAAAAAGAACATATGAACCTAACAGATACAATATTGTAAAAAAAAAAAAAACCCTTGGCCCTTGCCACTTGGTGAGATCCAACGTACCTAGAATTCTCGTTGAATGAAGAAATTACTTGGGGAGTGTAAAAAGCGTTAATCAAGTCGTATTGTACGTTTATTATTTAATAATTATAGGTGATATAAAAGAAAATACAAACAGATTAGCAATATGACAAGAAAAAATGGATAACTTAATCCAGCAAAAAGACAAAAAAAAAAAAAGAAAAAAGAAACTTAATTGGGAGCCTTAATTTGAAGCTCAACTCGGATGCCGCGGTTAGATATGGAGTTGTATCTCCGTTTATTGTGGCTGAATTTGGCTTAATAAAATTTGCATATTTTCCTCCAAAAAAAATAGTATGATACAAATATTATGTGCTTCTATATAATTTTATTGTTCAAAATATTGTCCTACCCTAGCGTGGAATTCTCCTGACGAGATATTATCTTCTTTTTATTTAACTTCTCCGTACATTTTTTAGAAGCACTATACAAGTAAATAGTTATTCTGCAACCAAAACATTTAACGCAAATACACAAAAGTTGATCGTCAAACATTTCTACTACCAAAACTATTTGGTTGCCAAAACTTTGGTGGCAGAAAATTTCGGCGATCAAATTTTTTATTTTGTTTTGGTTGAAGAATGTCAATTTTCTTGTACTCAAGTGTTATTATTATTTTCTTTTTGGGGAGGATTTTTTGAAGTGTTACTATCATCACTTTAGAGATAGGTAAAAAAAGGCAATTATTGATACCAAAACAGAAAAAAATAAATAAAGGCCATACGACAAACGGATAAATATTTTATTATTATTTCAAGAGACTGAATAATATATACATGCACAGAAGCAAGCATATTCCACTACTTAGAAACCCTATAAATACCCACTAAATCTCTTTCATTGAGCACACAAACAACCAACTTTTCCTCCTAAAAAAAAAGAAAAAGAAAAAAAACAATGAAGGTGGCCACTCTCACCATCTTATCCACTGTTTTTTTATTTGGTATTGTCTCTGTCTATTGTGAAAGATCCGATCACCATTGTGGACCAAAATATGGCAATCCTGGCTGTTCACAGGGAAGATGCTGCAGCATTCATGGGTGGTGTGGCGGCTCCGCCGGTTACTGTCAAGGAGGAAATTGTGATTACCAGTGTTGGGCTCGTTCTCTACTCCTAAACAATATTGATAATAATAATGCTGTTAGTGAGATCATCAGTGAATCGCTTTTTGATGAAATGTTTAAGCACCGGAAAGATTGCCCTAGCCAGGGCTTCTACAGTTATGATGCTCTCATAACTGCTGCTGCGTCATTTTCCGATTTCTGTAATACTGGTGATGTCGCTACTCGTAAGAGGGAGCTCGCAGCTTTTCTTGCTCAAACTTCTCAAGCTACCACAGGTTTGTTACTATAATTATTATATAGTTTAGGGAATTTTTACAGTTGAAAATCTTCGCTAGTGTTAATTATTGTTATTTTAGCCGGTGGATAAAATCTTTAACAGTGTGATCTACAAGTGTACGAATTGTTGTCTAAGCTAAATTATCCTGTTATTTTATAGGAAGTTTACGTTCGAATTTGTATCTACATATATACATAATTTAGTTGTATGTTGTGCTGTAGGACGAGAGTCTGATTCACTGGATCCATATGCGTGGGGTTACTGTCATATTAATACGACCACTAGTGGCGTTGAGAATGATTATTGTACATCTTCTAATTGGGCATGTGCTTCTGGAAAAAAGTATTACAGTCGTGGACCAATCCAGCTCACTCAGTAAGTACTGATATATACCTCGAAAACAATTACTTCCTTTACAGAAATTGAATTATGAAACATCTTCAAAATTATCTTATAAGCTAAATTTTTCTATGAGAAGTAAAATTATGATTCCTTAGAATCTTAATAGATCCACAGAGCTATGGAACATGGAAGTGTTTTTTGTTGAATAACAATCGTTTGCTAGTTAAAATACGCATGTTGGAGTTTTACTATTATTGTTGTTTTTCATCCATATTAGAAAAAAGAGGATCCTTTTACGGTAGAAAAGCGGTACTACATGTTTCTGACTGTTAAATCTGATTAAAATTACATTAAAATACACAAAAATGAAAAAATGACAATTTTCAGATTTGACGATTGACATATATATAGAGATCTTCCGGTAGTCATTTTCCAGGTCCGGTAGAAATCTCCAAAAAAACAAAGTAAAAGAAGAAAAAAAAAAGAAAAGAAAAAGGTTGTCGTAGAATATTTGTTTTAATTTTTTGTTGGATTTCATATATTTCACATATTAATGATCACACTTTCATACACTACAAGACAACTACGGATTTGTTGGAGAAGCTCTTGGGATAGATTTGATAAAAACTCCAGATTTAGTGGCAACAGACGCTGTTGTATCATTCAAGACAGCGATATGGTTTTGGATGATTCAGCACAACAACAAGCCTTCTTGCCACGATATTATTGTCAATGCCAACTCTGAAACTAGTCAAGTCCTTGGTCACATAATCCATGGAAATTCTGGACAAAAGAGTAGTGATTTAATCACTAATAGCATTGGGTACTACAAGAGGTACTGTGACATGTTGGAGGTCAGCTATGGAGATAACATGAAATATTGGTACGATGAAACTCATTTCTCGGATGTTTCTCACTTACAAATGCCTGTCTACTGAGTATGATATGGAGGAAAAAGAAATGGTGGCTTTCTGGTATTAAACTAGTTTTCTCTATGATGAGAAAGTTAATTATCTGGGCTTTTTGTTTATGTCTATATCGAAGTACTGTATGTAATGTTACAATGGACTCGACTTTCGTTAGTTGAGCTTGTGATCATGAAATAAATAGGCCACCCATGTTTCCCAGCAA